CATCTTGGCAATTATCTTCGCTATAGCATGGATGAGGCTAATGGGGCGAAAGTCAGTGATTGATTCCGCCCCATCCTTCTTTGGAACGAGAGCAATGTTTGCAGAGTTGAGCCAGTGCAAATTTTCAGAGCGTAGGTTGGAGAAGTGGTTGACCACGAGCATGATATCACCTTTTATGATTTCCCAACATCCCTTGAAAAAGGCCCCTGAGAAGCCATCGGGTCCAGGTGCTTTGTCGCTGGGAAGATCAAAGATTGCCTTTTTCACCTCCTCCTCCGTGAAGGCCGCGCCAAGGTCCGCGAGGTCGCACTCAGGGGCCGGGATGTTGGCCCAGTTGAAATCGGTGTGACGCGGCTGACCGCGTTTTGTGACCTTCGCGAAATGCTCTTGAATGATGGACTTCTTATGGTCATGGGCAGTAACCCATCCACCGTTGTGCTTGAGGCGGTGGATGAAGTTCTTCCTTCTTCTATGATTGACCCGAAGGTGGAAAAAACGAGTGTTGGCGTCTCCATCTTTGAGGTTGGTAATTCGCGAGCTTTGTCGCTTCCGCGCACGCTCCATAATGGCCAGGGCCACCACCTTCCGTTTGAGGCGTTTCCGTAAATCTCGCTCGTCAGAGCTAAGGGGCCGGAGTTCTTGAGCCACATCCAGACGAAGGATGACTTCCAGAGCCATGTGGATTTGCACCTTAGAATGCGCAAAGATCGTCTTGCTCCATCTCCTCAATTTTTGACTAGTTTCTTTTAGCTTGTGAAAAAGGATGTGGTAAGGATCAGTGTGGTTACTATCCTTATTCCAAGCTTCCTGGACAACCTCCTTGAACCCAGGCATTTTGATCCAAAAGTTTTCAAAGCGGAAGGACTTTGATCTCTTCGGGCCGTTGTCATTTGCGAGGAGGGGGCAGTGATCGGACAATGAAGACGAGAGCGCGTGTAGAAGGTGAGTGCCAAAATCGAGGTCCCAATCTTCATTACAGAAGAAAGAGTCGAGCTTGCTTAAGGTGGGGTCACTCCGTTCATTACTCCAAGTGTATTTTCTGTTTTGTAAATGAATCTCTTTGAGCTCACAAGTGTTCAGTGCATTGCGGAAGCGGACAAGTCTGCTCCGGTCGACGTTTGCTCTATTCTTGTCTCTGGCACGGTATATCTGATTAAAGTCACCAGAGACAAGCCACTTTGAGCCATGGGGAGGTTTTTCGCCGACCAACTCCTGGAAGAAAGCATCCTTCAGGTTGCTTCTTGTTGGTCCATAGACCGTTGTTAGCTTAAAGATTGTATTGGATTCTTTGATCGTGACGTTGCAGGAGAGGAAGAAGACTCCGATGGAAACATCCTTCACGTCCACAACATCGTTATCCCAAAGAAGCAAGATGCCACCCCGTGTACCATTAGCAGGGCGCTGGGCAAAATTCTTTAATCTTTGACCTCCCAGGTATGAAGCGATGAAAGGGTCGACAAGCTCTATCTTGGTCTCCTGCAGACAGACCAAATGACATGGAGTAGCTAGGATTGTTTCTCGGATTGTTGATCGACGGCCAGGACAATTTAGGCCTCGGACATTCCAGCTTAGAATACTAAGATTTTGATTTATCATGGGAAACTTGGGATACATCAGAAGTGAAGCAGCAGTTGGCCACAACAAAGCAATCATCAGCCTGGCACTCAACATTCAGCTCACACATACTGAGACGAGACAGGCACTCAACATTCAGCTCACACATACTGAGACGAGACAAACTAATCGGCACAAAAGCCTCGCCAAGGCAGCAGATAGCAGACGCCGACGTCGACGATTGCAAACAGGTGTACACACACATAAGAAGAGGGGTTGACACTATCATGGAAACTAGAGCACTTCTTCTACAGGGGCTGCAAACGCTCCAGTCACTCCGCCGAGCCGGACGCGTCCCCCATCACCGCCTGCAGCTCCGGACCCGCCTCACCACCATGAGCCACCAGGGCATCCTCGACGGCTTGCGCCAAGTCACAGTCGAGGTTGAACAACGCCCGGAGAGCCGCCACTGTGATGTCAGGGAGCTGCCCTTGGAACATGGCCACAAATTTGTCAATGGCTTCCTCTGTGACTTGTTGGCCTTCATCCACGACGCCCATGCGCTGGCATAGCAGCTTCTCCGCCATCTTCGCAATCGGCATCTTTCTCCCCTTTGCTTGGAGACGAGGGCTGGAGCGAGCAAGGTTGAAGCCTACGACTCCAGCCAGCGTCTTCCTTCTCCTTGTCGGTGGTCTTGGCCTTGGGGAGGGCGAGCTTGGTGCAGCGAGCAGGGGTGGCTGGCAGGCGACAAACAGGGGAGAGCACGGCGGTGTCCCCGCATTGCCAGCAACCGGGCTGACAGCCGGGACAAAGATCGGGGTGACCGGCTCAGCCTCAGCTTCGGAGGAAGGAGATGGAGCAGCAGCTCCACTGTCTTGCACTGCAGGAGAGGACGGGATGATCTCGATGATGTCCAGGGTCGTGGTACGGGGAGGTGTTGGCGTCGCCAGAGCAGGGCACACAGCTGCCTGTCGTTGCTTGGCGCCAAAACAGGGAGCGATCCACCGCAGCCAAGAGTCCTGGCCTGGCACAGAGGTGAGCTGAATCACATCACAGGAGGTCGAGCATGGCGAGGAAGGGGGCGAGCGGCCACGGGTGTCTTCGTTGACCGGGCTAGCAGCCCCCCCCCCCAGAGCGCCCAGGGCGTGTCGGGCAGTCCGCAGGGCGGCAACGGCCGCGTCTACCAGAGGCTGGGATGACGGCGCCGTCCGAGAGGCGCTGGACCAGCTTGTTGTCGATGGAGCGCGCGTCGGGGGCCTCGTGACGGTGACGTCGCCCGTCACGGCTACGGTCGTCCCGGCGGTCCTCTCTGCTGTCTCGGCGCCCATCGTCATCGCCAGGAGGAAGGGCGCTCGTCGCGCCCACGGCGGCCACGGTCACGGTCGTCGTCTCTTCTGTCGCGGTCGTGGTCGCGATCCCTGTCGTGGTCGCGGTCGTGGCTGTCGTGGCGTCTCCCAGCTATCTCCATTCTGTCCCGCATCCTGGATTCACCATCGATGACCCCATAGCGAAAGGTGAACGGATGCGAGGAACGAGGCCGGCGGGGGATGTTGCCATTGGCGTCGGGGGTGAAATCCTCAACCAGGTTGAGGTGAACCAGGACGCGCCGCTTGAGCCCACGCCGGCCAACAGCAGCGCTTGGGCCGTTGCTGTAGCCCGCCGGCTGGTTGTTAGTGACCGTCAGCCGGAGAACCTTGGGGATGGCGGAGGGGTTGGCAGACCATGCCCAGAGGTCGAGGGAGGAGGAGTCATCTCTCTTGACTGTGGTGATGTCGAAGTAGTGCAGGAAAGTGTCGGGGCCGAGCACTTGCGTTGCCACCTCGTCGCACCATGCGTTGAGCGGCAGATTTTCAATGCACAGGTGAACATGGTAGTACGCCTCCACCAGATCAGCGTGTGCCTCCGGCCTCCATTTGGCGGTGTGGAAGTCCAGCCCGCCGTGACTGAAGCGGCCCGGCGAGGCGGTGACTAGGTCGCGGTGGTGCTGGTGGGAGAAGAGGACGAAGAAATCCTCTGGATAGTGCGGCACCACCTTGATGAAGTTGCGGTTGATGACGAATTTGGTGGCGATGGCGTTCCTGACCTCCTCGGCGTTGATGCGTGGTCGACTCCCTCCAAGCCACACCAGCGCACCCAGGGTGGAGAGGTTGACGGCGCTGTCTTCCATGGCCTGGGTGGAGGTGATGACCACATGCCCCTCCTCAGGGCGCAACGATGGGTCTCCAACGAGCGGCATCGCGGTGGGCGGCGAGGCTTGGGTCAGTGAAGACTCTGGCGACCGAGGCGGAGCAGCACAGGTCGGTGGAGACCTCGGCGATGCGGTCGACGCAGCTGGTGAGAGCGAGGGCGAGGGGACGGGCGAGGCGTTGCAGTCACGGGCGCGGTGGCCACACTGCTTGCACGTCCGGCACCTAAAAGGATTTCGGCAGTCGATTTTGCAGTGGCCGACCTCGAGGCATCGATGGCAGGTGCGGAAGCGGTGGTGGACGAAACTTCTTCCCGTTGGAGGGGAATAAGAAGCAGAGACCCTCCTCTGCTTTGAATGCCGGTAGCTGGGCAGCGCACGCCACCAGTACGGCGCCTTGACGGGTTGCCAACCATCCTCGGAGTAGACGCCGGGAGACGCGGCAGGCTCGGGGCTCGAGCGACGCGACGTCCGCGCCGGACGCCGGCAGATCTTGAAGGCGCCTGCAGGAGCAGTCTTGAGGCATGGCCTGTGCGCGCCTTGAATGGGGAGGGGAGGAGTTGAATCCAGCACGACAGCATTCAACGCAAAGCAAACCGAGCGCTGCAGAACCTCGCCTCCCTCCGCATCGGAGGTCGCCAGCTGGGAGTCAGCGACGTAGGAGGAATCAGAGGAAGCGGGTCGCCGTGGCGGCGAACCCAGATCTGATAAGCACGGTGCCAGCAGCGGCGGACACGGGTCGGCAGGAGTGCCTCGACGCACGAGAGGCCACGGAAAGCCCGGCGGGAGGAGCGGGGACGACGGGGGGCTGGCCTGCGGGCTGATCTGGAGCGGGGCAGCAGCGGCGGCGGTGGCTGTGGCCGCCGGAGTAGCGCGTCGCAGGAGCGTGGGCGTGGGTGCGGGCAACATTTTTTCCGATGAAGAGGGAATTAGGCAATCATATTTGTTGATTAAAAAAATGCATGTATAGAAGCTTTTGTCTGTTTTATGTGCAAGCTGCGGGGGCGCCTATATGTGTGTGTCTGTCTACTAGCACTATATACGACTTCTTATGGTTTGCCTGTTAAAGCTGACTAGGGCTATATGCGACTTTTCATGGCTTGCCTGTCAAATTAGAGGGGGAACTGAACCCAGTTAGTTCTCAGCACATTTGTGAAGGCTTTAATTTTCAACAGCATGGTAGGCTTATTTTATGTTCTGTGTGGTTGTAGCCTGCCTGCATGTAAACTTGTCATGGCTAACAGTATGTAATTTAAAGCAGATGGAAGCAAATCAGCCACAAGGATTTGGAGTTGAACAGAAGTCAGGACCAGAGCAAACTGATGAGATGCTAGGATCACAGGTTAACCAAAAGTTCACGGAAATGTCCCTAGACGACGCTGCTGTGGAAGCTGGCATTTTTCAAGAAAAGCAAGATGATCCAGAGGCAAGATTGGAGGTTCATCAGAAGTTTGCTGAAATGTGCCTAGACACTGCTATGGGAACTGATATTAACCAAGAAAAGCAATCTGATCAAGAGGCAAGATCGGAGGCTGATCAAAAACCTGCAGAAACTATCAGGCAGTGCACAGTTGTGGAATCCAATGTTAAGCCAGAAGAGCAGCAGGCTGCTGCTAATCCAGGTGTCATTTACCGCTGCAAAAAGTGTCGGAGGATGGTAGCAACACAAGAGTACGTCGTCACGCACGAGGTAGGCCTAGGAGAGGCAGGCTTCTTAAAGCGCAGAAACGATGCGGATGAGAAGAAGCCTGAATGCAGTGCCTGCATCTTCGTGGAGCCCATGAAGTGGATGCAGGCTGGTGAGTTCCTCAACCTTACCTTTGTTTGTTTCTTACCTCCTTTCTCGGTCCAGCGTATCTTTTTGATGCAAAAACCTGATGTGTTGGTCTATCCCGTGACGTTTGCAGTGGAAGAGGGGTACGTTTCGAACAAGCTGTGGTGCATGGGATGCAAGACCCGGCTGGGATCGTTCGACTGGGCAGGCATGCAGTGCTGCTGCGGAGCGTGGGTGATCCCGGCTTTCCAGCTGCTCAAGAGCAGGATCGACGAGTCTCACATGTGATTTTACTCGGCCAAGTGGCCTTGCCATTGCTGGGCGAGTTAGTGGTTAGCGGTGATACTGCAGCAGCATATGTAGGAACTAGGAACTGATACTGTCAGATTTGTTTCTCTGTATAAAGTGCGCTTATCTTGTCCACCACATCAGCTTTGCCCAGCGTCTGTTTTGATTAACGGCTCTTAACCAGTACGTACTTCCTTCGTCTCAAAAAAGAAGACCTATAAATTTATAAATTTTCTCTTAAGTCAAATGGTATAATGTTTGACCAATTTTGTCGAAAATTGACCAATTTTGTCGAAAATTTATCAACAACTATGGTACTACCAACCTAGTATCATGAAATAAACAACTTATTGCCGAATTAGAGCCTCTAGCAGGGCACCAAACATGGCCCACGTATAGTTTTCTCGGTCGAGGCGCCAAATATTTCACCCGGAGCCCCTCAAACAAGTGTACCGAAAAAGGTTTTCCCGTTTTGTATTCCAAAGCAAACCATCATTATACACATCGCAATGCTGGGGCGAGCAACACATCAAGCCCAAAAGAAAACGAAGAAGAAACAAATGCCAACAGCGGCAACTCGACAAAGCGCGGAAGAACTGGGACCTCTGCGCCCTCTGGAAACACACCACCATAGCTCGGAGCTTCGATCAACCGCGTACTAAGCAGCACCTCCAAGAAGGAATGTGACGCTGACGACGCTGCTGCCTTGGACGAGTCCTAGGGTTTCCCCCAATACGCGGAGGGAGGTGGGGGATGGTTACTACCGACACCCTCCAAGAAGGAATAGTGCCACCCGCCGGTGTCACCGCATCAGAGCCGGACGAACCGGCAAGGATTTCTCCCACACACCAAACTCCACCGTCCAACCGGAGCCGACCAGCCAAACCACCGCCCAACACCATGCGCAGTCACGGTTGCGCCGACGCCCATGCCGTCTTACTGCGAACACCAACACGAGGCCAAGAAGACCGGAGAAGAGCCGAGCGACGGGAGCAGCAACACCAAGGCCGAGCGGGAGGGAACCACCTCCACTGCCATCGTGCCAGAGGCCCGCGCCTCCGGCACCGTCGCGATAGCCGTCCGGACACAACAGCGGGGCATACCAAGCCACCCCTGGCATGGCCAGGCCCGAAACGGGCCCGCTAAGCCCCGCCGGCCACACTGCAGCAGGCTGGCGTCGACGCTGCCAACACCCTCCGTTCATCGCCGCTCCCCCGCCTCCCGGGAGTCACGCCGTAGACCCGCCCCACCCCGCCGCTGGCCCGCCCAGGCCCAAATGGGGCCCGAAGGGCCCAGATCTGGGTCGAGCGCCGCCGCCTGGCCGCGCCGCTGCGCCACCCCGCCGCCCGCCCACGCCGCGTCAGGAACCCCGCTGCCAGCCAGACCGCCGCCGCCTAGGAGCACCCCCCTCCCGGTGCAGCTCTGCCCTGCGCCGGAGAGCCACCGGGAGGGGAAGGTCAGGGGGCCGCCGCCACTAGCGTCCCCGGGGCCAGGCCAGTCGCAGGCGCCAGCGACGACGGCGGGGAGGAAGGGGAGAGGGGGGGGCTGGGGGAGGTGGAGGTCGCCACGGCCGGTCGCCCGCGTAGGCGACGCGGTCGCAAGAGGAGAGGGTAAAAGGAAGTGTGTCTTTTAGGCTCCGATCACACGTGTCCTCACACAAGTGTATATGAGACCTCTTTCTTTATTTGGTTAGAGTATCTCAAGTTGATCCCTTAAAAAACTATAAAATTTTGTTTTTAAGGAGTTATATTAAATCGAATCTAGCCGAACCCTTATCCGGTTTATAACACATAAAATATTGTAAGCGGATGTGGCTAGAAAATTTTTGGCCCTCTCCACGCCTCCAATGTCCACCCGTAGTTGTCGTCACCCATTGCTGACCTCCAGACGCACTCCAATTCGCTCGGCGGTCGCCGCCGCCGTCATTGAAATTGACCCATATTGCCGCCAACACTGCCGCTATCCCTTAGATGAAAAACTCACCTCCGCACTTGGTTTGTTCCAAATTGGAGCCGACAGACACTGAGATGCCGTTGACATCAGGGAGAAAATTTGGAGGACAAAGTAGCGTGAAGAGTGCTTGTATATAGCATTTCAATTTTTTTTGTTTTTCTGTCCAGTATCTTTCTATACAAGTAGAGTATATCTGATTCCAAAAAAGATGCGGAATTTTTCGACTTTTTTTGCAGTTACTAAATTATTTTCCATATATAGGGTGCGCTGACACCCGGTGTATCGTGGTATTTCCCACTCTCACTGCTCTTATACAGGGGAAAATGCTTGGGTAGTCTTGTGTCCCGTGGTCACATTGCTCGGGTTTTCTCTCTATTTGATAGCTCGTAAGTCTGGCACATTTTATGGCTTTTCAAAATGGAGACTTGTTTCTGGTCCAGCTTGCACGGTCTAACATGAACAATAACTCTAACATTTTGCCTCTCGCCTAATTTAGTATTTTGATCCGACTTGCGCGGGAGTTCGATCGAAATGACAATACCTCTTATTTCCGGAATTAAATTGCAAAAACGTCTTATATTTAGTTATAGACGTAGTACTAAATAGTAACATCATTTACTTTCACATAAACAATCAACCGCAAACCAAAAAGCTAGTTACACTTGCACATGTCGTTGATGTTGAGGGCCCGCAACCATTCGGACCATACTATCCGAACCTTGGAAATCATCCAACGCCGACCTGTATCGGTTCGTGGAGTGGTCCGAACGCGATTTCTCCC